CACGGCTCCCGCTTGCCGCGCTCCGCTCGGCCCCTCTGGATTGGTGGATTGGTGCAAGTTTCGCCGGGGGGCGCAGCGCGGCGCAGCGGCAGAGAGAGTCCCGAACAAGTTTTACACCGACCACGCTTCCGAAGCACCCGAGGACGGTGGGGATCGCATTTATTGTTTCTTTGCTCCGTTTTCTTCATTGACTCGTGCGGCCGTCTTTGAGTTTCCCGTGTCTGAAGCCCCACCGTTGCAGCCCGCCTTGAGGGGCGTCCTCCGTCTTTGGAAGGGAGGCGAGGAGGCGGGGGCGACGCAGCGCCTGTCTCTGTTTTCACTCCGTGGGCCCAGCGCCCCGCGCGGGGCAGACGGGTCAGACCGACGAAGAGAGGGTGTTCGAACGGCACCTGCGTGTTGCTTCCGGTCGGTCTTCCCTTCCCCGTCCTGCACTTGGTGTCCACCGCTGCCGCGCTGCCGACGGCTAGCAGCACTGCGCCTGACGCAACGCGCCATCCTGGCCGGCCAGGCAGCCCCAGCAGTGCAGCCTGTCACGGAGTCCCAGAGCCGTTTTTTCGCTCTGTCTCTCTCGCACTCACAGAATGTGCCGCACAAGAGCGACGAAAAGGACTCTCAGAATCAGTCTGCTGCAGCGCCGCGCAAGCCACTTAAAGGATCATCCCGGTTTGGGGCGCAACGGGGAAAGACGCTCGGCCAGCAAGCTTCTCTCACGGCCTCGTTGATGGCGGCCTCGTTGACGGCGGCCTCGTTGACGGCGGCCTCGTTGACGGCGGCCTCGTTGACGGCGGCCTCGTTGACGGCGGCCTCGTTGACGGCGGCCTCGTTGACGGCGGCCTCGTTGACGGCGGCCTCGTTGACGGGCCCGGGCGGCGCCTCGTTGACGGCGGCCTCGTTGACGGCGGCCTCGTTGACGGCGGCCTCGTTGACGGCGGCCTCGTTGACGGCGGCCTCGTTGACGGCGGCCTCCCGGACGCCACCGGCACCCGGCATGACTGATGACTGTACACCAGGCCGTCCAAAACCGTGTCTGAAGGTTGCCTGCCGCCACCCTGTCGAGCACAGCCGTGGCTTGGCTCGCTGTTCGAGTAAAAGAGGGGTCCGGCATTGAAATCTTGAAATCTGACCCTCGCGTTTTCGAGCACCCTGGCGTGTGGACTTCGGACCTCTCTGGCGCTTGTGGAGGCGTTACTTCTGCGACGTGCCTCGGTGCGCCTCGGTCCCCGTAGGTCCCCGGGGCCGGGGGGTGGACACTGGTCACTGGCCACGTCGTCGGCTGTGCCCTGAGCGCTGCCCCCGCCCTGCCCGGGCGTGTATTGACCCCGTTCCGTGGGATCGGGCCCGGCCGTGCCATGACGCCGAAGTATGATGGTGCGGACAACAAGACAATTATCGTTGAGCCTGAGCCGCCCCTCCTTTCCCTACGAGGACGGCGAGGACGGCGAGGACGGCGAGGACGGGCCAGCCAGGACGCCGGCCCTGGTGAGCTTGCAGCCCGGAGACAAATTGAACTCCCCACGCAACCCCGGGCAGGGCAGAGCCACCCCGGGCGGTGAGGGCGGTGACGCAGACAAAAGTACTGGCCCCACCCCTGGGTGCTAACGCAGCCATAACTTTAGAGGCGGGGTGTGAAAAAAAAGATCAATTTATTAAATAAATTGAACACAGCAGGCCACTGACGAGCGCGCGGTGTAGTCTGCTGATCTTTGCCCCGCCAAGCCCGCTGGATGATAAACCCTGATGGGTAATTAGGTCCGATCTCGGCGAGCAATGCGAAATTAAAAAGCGGAGGCCGCGGCGGCGTGCGGACGACAGGACGGGCTGGCTGCAGACCCTTTGTCGCGACCGTGAATGCCGAATGGCGGCACGGCGGACAAATAACACTCGACTGGGATCGCCCGCCAAGAAAGGGTGGGGGGGGGGGGCTGCCCCGTGCAGCTGCGCCCTCGACACGCCGCCACCAGGGGAGGGAGGGGGGAGGGGAGGTGGCCCGCCGTAGATAAGGTCGCTCAAAGAGGGCGAGGATGAAAGAAAACAACTGAAAATTGCTGCTCGGCGCGCGCGGTGCCAAAGCATAGCGCCGTCGCGGGGTAATACGGCCCCGGCGTGGCGGGGCAGGCCTTCAGGCAGGCCTTCAGGCAGGCCTTTAGGCAGGCCTTCAGGCAGGCCTTCAGGCAGGCCTTCAGGCAGGCCTTCAGGCAGGCCTTCAGGCAGGCCTTCAGGCAGGCCTTCAGGCAGGCCTTCAGGCAGGCCTTCAGGCAGGCCTTCAGGCAGGCCTTCAGGCAGGCCTTCAGGCAGGCCTTCAGGCAGGCCTTCAGGCAGGCCTTCAGGCAGGCCTTCAGGCAGGCCTTCAGGCAGGCCCTTTCAGGCAGGCCTTCAGGCAGGCTTCAGGCAGGCCTTCAGGCAGGCCTTCAGGCAGGCCTTCAGGCAGGCCTTCAGGCAGGCCTTCAGGCAGGCCTTCAGGCAGGCCTTCAGGCAGGCCTTCAGGCAGGCCTTCAGGCAGGCCTTCAGGCAGGCCTTCAGGCAGGCCTTCAGGCAGGCCTTCAGGCAGGCCTTCAGGCAGGCCTTCAGGCAGGCCTTCAGGCAGGCCTTCAGGCAGGCCTTCAGGCAGGCCTTCAGGCAGGCCTTCAGGCAGGCCTTCAGGCAGGCCTTCAGGCAGGCCTTCAGGCAGGCCTTCAGGCAGGCCTTCAGGCAGGCCTTCAGGCAGGCCTTCAGGCAGGCCCGGCAGACTCATTCCGAGCGTCGCTTTCGTCGCTCTGTCTCGCTCGCGCCTTCGCGGAACGCCCTTCCAGTCTCTCGGAATATGAGTCCGGCTCGCATGGCATGCGCATCGGCTCGCGGGCTGCAATCTCGCAGCCAGAAGGACGCACTCCGGCGCCGTAAAGGAGGGTATCGATTCAAAGCTGCGCGAAGCTGGCGGAGCTGCGGGGCTAAATCGTGAATGAGCCTCTGGGGCCACTAAGCGGGGCCGCCGGGGGTGGGGGGGGGGGGGGGGGCAATGAAAGGGAGTCGGGCTTGACGCGGCGCCGCCTCATTCCGAAGGTTTGTTCCGTCGCTCTGTCTCTCTCGCACTCACGGGGCGTAGGGGTGTAGTGAGAGAGACAGTGACGCGCAGGCGGCCTAGGTTGGCTCATGTCTGGATCCGCCGCTGGCTGTGCGGCTCGTGCTGCTCGTTTGACCCCGATGATGCAGGGGGAAAGGAGAGGGATGGGCGAGGCAAGGCGAAGGGCCGGCGGGCTGATGAGGCTGATATGGCACGCGGGTGGGGCCACGGCCTCAGTCGGCCTCAGTCGGCCTCAGCCAAATGCGCATGGTCTTCTTTCCCTCCTTGTTTTTTGCTGTGGACGTTCAGCGCGCAGGCCTGGCATTGCTACGCCCGCCCACGGACAGACACACTGGGCTTTTCTCTCGGCCGCCTCTCACATTACTGCCTTGCGCGGGGGGGGGGCGGGGCGGGGCGGGGCGGGGCGGGCGTCAAAGCCACCCTTGTGTCTTCAAGACCGGTGGTCTCCGAGTGCACGCCCTGCCAGAGTGACCGGTCCGTTGGCCGGTGAAAAGGTTTCTGTTCAATTTTACTTTTTGCGTGCGACCGTACGAGAAGGAGAGTACGCCTGAACATGAATCCTCTCCTCCGCCCAGGTCTCCCGACGGGGTCGCGCTTTCAAAAGAGAGATTGATTTCGCGTTGGGTCCTGAGAGCAGGCTAGAGTCCTGGACGGGCCTCGCGGTGCCGCGCGGCCACCAGAGCCGGCCAAGCCCCGGGCCAAGCCCCGGGCCAAGCCGTCCCCCCCCTGCCTCCCCGTCCACCTGGACCAACCTGGACGAACCTGGACCTGGCCGTCGCCCTGACAGCCTGACGCTCTCCATCAGCAATATCGGCCGGATTTGGCCGGCGTGTCACTCCGCGTCCGTCGCCCTGCTCAAGCAGCGGGCGGATTCCGACCTGTGCCGTCTCTCTCGCCCGCGTGGGGCGTTTCCGTGCGGGGTGCGAGAGAGATAGAACGCCCAGGCACCACTGTGCGGAATCAGGGTCCTGCCTCGCTGCAAGATAGCGCGTCCCCGGAACTTATACCACCAGCTCCGTCTTGTTCGTCGTGCGGACTGTCTGTCTGTCTGTCTGTCTGTCTGTTGGCCTATCCACCCGGTTCCCTTGCATTGCTGAAAGGGCGGCTCTCGGAGATATATTGCAAGATCCGCAGCGGAAATGAATGTTTTGGGGCGCTGTCTCTAGGGCGTGCAGACAGACAGACAGACCGACCGACCGACAGACCGACAGACAGACAGACAGACAGACAGACAGACAGACCGTCAGACAGACAGACCGTCAGACAGACAGACCGCGTGCATCTCGCTTCGACGACTCATTCATATTCCCACCATTTGGAGCAAACAGTGGGCCGTGTTTGTTGACTCTGCCGCGTTCCGCGTTTTGCTCTGATTGTTTTCGTGGCTGAGTCGGGCAGGGAGCGCGAGGCGCGAGTGAGGTGCGAGGTTGCCGAGGTCTCCTCGACTCGGCCGCAGCGCCGCCGGCGTGAAGAAGGAATATTTTCGTTAAAACAGAAAATCAGCTTGCCGAACGGAACGGCAGCGACCGCGTCTAGAACGCGTTCTGGTTTGGCCTGACGGATTTTTATTGTTGCTGTTGTTGTTGTGAAACTTCTTGCTTCGGCTAATTGCATTTTTTCGTGAGGCCGTTTGAAAAAAGTGAGGAAAAGGTTCTTTCAGGTCAGAGATGCGATGTGTAAAGGGGCGGGGCGGTCCAACTTTTGGAAAACGGGGTGGAAACTGGTCATAACTCACCCTGCCCGAGCCGAGGCGGGCCCGAGGGCGGAGCGCGGATTGACATTATCACCGCGCCGCGGCTATCGGCTCGGAATGAAAAGAAAAGAAAGGGGAAAAAGGCGAGGACGCGGCGGGTATTCGAACCCGCGCCACGGCGCCTCGTTGCCCCAGCACGGCCAGGCACGGCGCGCTTTGACATCCGTGTGCTTTTGTGTGTTGCAGCTCGTCGTCCAACGACCTCATATCCCGGAGAGGGGTGTTCAGCCGCAGGCACTATGGGTCCGTCGAGCTGGTGAGTCTGCGGAGCGCTGCGGAATGTGGAGCCGTGGTGGAGTCGCGGCCGCGGAAAGGAGCAAGATTAGTCAAGGGACTTTTTTTTCGTGTTCGTTTTCCTCTTTCTTTCATTTTCTGCGGGTACAAGAGTCGTTGCCGCCATCGCGGCGGCGCCCAGAGAGGCGGCTGGTCTGTTTGGAGCCCCTGCGCGGCGACGGGGTAGGCAGGCGGCGGCCCAGCGCGCAGCCGTGCGTGGCGGCCGGCCCACCTCCCCGTCCGCGGGGGCTCCCAGCGCCGCCTAGTTACTCCCAGTGCCGCGCTGCCGCGCTGATGTCGCCGGCGCCGCGAATCCTAACGACGCCGCAGCGCGATTTTTCATCCCTGTCGGCTAAAGAGGCTGTCGGCCCGGCCGGAGGTACGGCGCCGGAAGTACAGGGCCACCTGGGGGAGCGTCGCGACGGCGTCGTCCGCGCGTTTGGGGGGCTTTGGCGGGCGTCGCCAGGGACGTCCCCGGACTCCATGCACTGCTTGGCCTGCTCCCTGTTCCAGCTGCCGCAGATCGAGGCGGACGGCTCCGAGCTCAACGGCCGCCGCTTCCGGGTCGAGAACGGCGAGTCGCTGGGCGAGAAGGAGGAGGTGAGTAGAGTCACTCCTTTTTCCACTTTTCCTCTTTTCGGTGTTTTCAAGTTGTTGGACCGCGCCGCGCCACGCCGCTGCAAAGTCGACCCGGCCACGTAACTGGCTGAGCGTGGAATCCGAACAGCGTCTATCGCTCTGTCTCTCTCGCGCCCCTATGGGGAGAGCCATGAGTGCGAGAGAGACAGCGTCGAGGTCGGGGTGATGCCTGGATGCCTTTCCCTCTCCGTTTCTCCTACTTCGGGTTTAGGTGTCACTATCCACCCTCGCCATCCAGACAAAAAATTAATTTAAAACCCACCCCCCTTCTTTTTCCTTTTCCCACCGCTGCCCTCACGCGCCAAAAGAAAGCAACCGCGCGGCCGGACGGGAAACACAGACGGAAAAGTCCCATCGGCACAAAGGGTGCGTTTCCCCTGCACTCTTCTTTCTTTCTCTCCCCTCTTTGTTTTTATCCTTCCCTCCCTCTTTTTTTGTCAAACTTGGTTTCTTTTGGGGTCGCGTTGCGTTTAGTTGGTCGGTGTTGGTGTGCGGCTTGCGACTCGACGAGTTGAATTATGGAGGGTCCCTGTGGGGGCTTCGTCGAGGGAGTGGAGGGAGGGGGAGGGGAGCCTTCACAGGTCAGCGCGCGGCCGCGCCGCCGCGGTCGCCGCTCTCATCCACGCTCTCCGCGACGCGCCGCGACCAACCAAGTCCGCACCCCCGCCCGCCATTGTCCGCGTGGGCGCAAGGACTCTCCCCGGCGAGGCCGAGCGAGGCCGCCGCGATATGTAACGTAAACACGCCATGACGACGGAAAACAAGAAAAACATTGTCCAATTAGATTAATTACAGAGGGCTGCGCTCTCGTGTGGGCGCGCGGCGTGGCGCCCCTCGACCCGCCATGGGGCCATGGGGGGCCCCAAAACAATCAATCAGTTTGGTCGACAACGCGCCCCGTTCTAATTATGTGTTGTTTCTCTTCATTCGCAGATGTTCGGGTCGCCGAGCACGCCGGTACTTGAAAATCCCGAGTATCAAACGAGATGGTACTTCAAGTACTTCCTCGGCAAATGTAAGTACTTGCAGGTCTCCTCCACGCCGTCTGTTCTCGAGTTTCGTTTTCTTTTCTTTCCGGTGCATCATGCCGCCCCTCGTGCAAATCCCCCGACACGGCGAACCGGATTCAATAACCAGAGTTCGGCCAAAGGCAGTCAAAGACAGCCAAAGGCACCAGGCTGGACACCACCGCGAAAATGGAGTTTGCCGGCCCTGTGTGAAGGGTGCGGCCGCGGGCGGTGCTGCGCTGTAGTGAGCTCAGCGGGTACTACCTCGGCATCGCCAAGGCATTAGCATAACGCACAGTGGGCCAGAAGACCAGTGCAGGTGACCAAAACTCTAGACGCGTTTTGAGCCCCAGAGTCGCTAAATGGGATCGAACCGAACGTGTGACCCCACCAATGGATTGCTCTCCGAACGAGGAATCGATTGGTGGGGTCACACGTTCAATTCGAGTCCCATTTAGCGACTCTGCTGCTCAAAACGCGTCTAGAGTTTTGGCCGCCTCCACCGTTCTTCTGGCCCACTGTATAACGCCGACGGCCACTCCACGGATGAACGCCGCCAAAAAGTGCAGCCCGGTGCAGGGGACAAACACGCTTATTTTAATTTACTTTATTTCACCCGTCCCTTTCTTTTTGCAGTGCACCAGAACTACGTGTCGGTGGACTGCGACAAGGTGCCCGTCTTCCTGTCCGTGGTGCTGACGGACGCCAACGACCAGTGCGTGTCGCAGTACCGCGCCATCCTCTGGAGGAAGACGGTAAGGGAAGGCCTCCACTCCGCGGCCTCGACGGCCTCGACGGCCTCGGCCCACGCACCGGCCAAACAAGCGGGCGGACCTCGGACTCTCGAGTCGCATTCTCCGTCAGATTTGCATCGGGTTCCGTGCCTTTCGGCCCCGCCTTTCGGCCCCGCCTTGGGGCTCCGGTACATCACAGGAATGCCGCGCCGTCCGCCGTCCAGGCTTTGTGCCTTCGTCCCACGGGGAAGAGTCTAGTCTTTCTCCGGAACAAGCAAGCCTGCCGACCCGGCCCGGTGTACTATTTTGCGCGTTTGAATTTGTTGGCGCGGTTCGCCGGGTTCGCCGGCTTTGCCTTCAGGCGTCCGCGAGGCCCGTCCGTCCGCCTTGCTGGTGGCTGCGCGCCCCCGCGGCCCCCGCGGCCCCCGCGGCCCCAGGGGCTGCCCGGCGCCCCCGCTCGGCCGCCACCCCGCACAGGCTGGCGGGGCTGGCGAGGGCCACTGCCAGCCAGCACACGCCCGGCGCCGCAGAGGCCGGTTCCGAGCGGCGCTTCCGTCGGTCTGTCTCTCTCGCACCCTGACGGGGCGCCCCGAGGGTGCGAGAGAGAGAGAGAGAGAGAGAGAGACCCGCTGCGGGTTGCCTGCACTTACGGCGCCCAGGGGGGCCCTACGTCTCGGGTCCCCTAATGAAGCGGGCGTGGACAAAGAAGGCGCTGCCGACTGATTCCGGCACTGTGTCGCTCTGTCTCTCTCGCGCCGCTGCACCCTTTACGGGGACGCTCTGTGAGTGCGAGAGAGAGACACTGACACAGCGCTGTGTGGAATCGCCTGGCCGTGACTGCCCCCCCCCCCTCCCCCTGACGCGGGCCGCGTGGAGGAGGGTCAGGTATTCACTTTGTCGGCCCTACGCCGTAAGCGAGGCAAGCGAAGCGGCAGTGGCGCTCATGAATGGCGAGCAGCTCCACAGTACCCACGCGGCGGCCACACCGCCACACCGCTAATGCTGGATAACTTTCCCCGCGCCGATTCCCAGCTTCCAGCCGCTTCCAGCAGACTCCAGCGCGGCCGGGGCAAAGTTAGTTCGCGCCGGCCTAGCGCAGGGAAAGTACGTGTGCGGAAGGCTTGTTTCCGGTTCCCTGTCGCGGCCGGCAGGTGGCCGGCAGGTGGCCGCAGCGTCGTTGTCGACTTGTCCGCGGCGATGCCGCCCTGCCGCCCCGGAGCGCGCGGGCGGAGGCGGGACTTTGCAGTGCTCTGCAGGGCGGGCCGTGAGTTGGTAAACACGGGCGGACAGGCAGAAGCCAGCAGCCGGCGGTTTGCGTAGTGCGTAGCGGGCGTAGCGATGGGGCGATGAGGCCCGCCACGCCACGCCCCGCCACGCGCCCCGCCACGCCCCGCCACGCCCCGCCACGCCCCGCCGGCGGCCTTGAGGGCGGGGAGGGGGAGGCCGCAGGTCCTTCCGTCACCTGGCCCGCGCCGCCTGCGCGCGACAGCCAAAGGCAGCCAAAGGACAGCATCCGGATTGTGTTCCTCAATGTCCGCCTGCGCGCCATTTCGGCCGGGAGCGACGCTCTCCACACTCGCCCCGCTCTGCGCGTTCCACAGAGGGCGGACGCGGGGGCGGCCGGGGGCGGCCGGGGGCGGCACAGAAAGCAAGAGTGATACAGTACACTCCACTTTGAGAGGACCCGCGTTCGCGTTGGCGCGCCGCCGAACGGCCTCCGCGCCACCGTCCCCGTTCCCCGTTTCGTGCGCCGTGCCGTGTCGTTTGGTTTGATAAGGACGGTCACGCAGGACAGATAAAACAGGACGAGCTCCCGCCTCGGTTAAACAACGCGCCGGATGTGGAGGGTAGTCGAGTGGCCTCTTGGTCTAGGGGTATGATTCCTGCTTTGGGTGCAGGAGGTCCCGGGTTCAAATCCCGGAGGGGCCCGACTTTTTTCCGACGCTCAAATTCATTGCCTACTGTACAGACCCACACAAGACGACTGAATTATGTCCGAGAGCCGATGCAGAACATGTGTGGCCTCTTGGTCTAGGGGTATGATTCCTGCTTTGGGTGCAGGAGGTCCCGGGTTCAAATCCCGGAGGGGCCCGACTTTTTTCCGACGCTCAAATTCATTGCCTACTGTACAGACCCACAAAAGACGACTGAATTATGTCCGAGAGCCGGTGCAAAACATGTGTGGCCTCTTGGTCTAGGGGTATGATTCCTGCTTTGGGTGCAGGAGGTCCCGGGTTCAAATCCCGGAGAGGCCCTCTGTTTTTCTTTCCTTTTCCCCCTTTTTCTCATGATACGAAGTGAGGACACCTAGTGGGAGCCATCTTATATGCATGGTATTTTTTCCGCCTGGGTACCCCCGGGACCAAAAGTACTTCCCCGCCTCCCCGCGGTGGCCCCCGCACCCCGCATGGGGCCCCGCATGCATGCATCGCCTCACAGGCGCAGCCACGCGGAAGAGGAGCTGCTCGAGGGAACGGGATTCCCATGTAAATTTGAGGAGGCCGGCCCGAAAGTGATTTTGGGGCGTACAGTACCGTGCGCGAAATAAAGACAAAACGAGTATAAAAAGAGAGAGCATGTTTGGTCAAGAGGAGAGATTATAATCAGTCTGTCATGGCGAGGAACTTGGTGAGCTGCTGCGTGATGAGGGTGCGTGCCTCCGTGACGGCCTGCGTGTCCTGGCGGCTGGCGGCGTGGACGTCGGCGCAGGCGGCCATTCCTGGAACGGCGAACGACGGCATGGGTTAGCGTGCGCCGCGGTGCTTTGCTGCCTTGGCACTGCCTTGCTGCTTTGCGGCCTGGGAGTCCTTACCGGCGATGGTGATGACGGGCTCCATGTCCTCCAGGTCGTCCCGGACACCGAGCACGTTGTAGGGGTCGATCTCGCCGCGCACGAACACCACGCGGCGGACGTCGGGCGCGTTGCCGCCGAACTCCTGGTTGGTGCGGCGCACTGCCTTCTCCAGGAGCTGCTTGTCGAAGCTGGCGGCACAGAGACACAGGGGGGAGGCGGTTAACCTCGGTGTTTGTTCGGTCAGGCCCTGGGCCACGGCCCGGGCCAGGGCGTTGCCTTCCCGCGTTTAAAAAGTTTGACGCCGCCACGGCGCGCCACGGCCTGATTGTCCTGCCCGCCCCGGGGAGGCGCTTGCCCGCCTTGCCCGCCTTGCCCGCCTTGCCCGCTGCCGCCACTTAGCACCACTTGGACCGACCCGCGCAACTTGGCCGCCGAGACCGTCCCCGCGGCCGTCCCCGCGACCGTCCCGGGACCCTCCCCGTCAGCCCCGCCGATGCCTTCAATTGCGCCAATCAGCTGGCCGCCTAGCCCGGCCTAGCCTCGCCGCAGGGGGCGCGGCGGCGCTCGCATGGCGGCGGCGGGCAGCGCGCCCGCGGCGAGGCTAGGGACCGCCGGGGCCGCAGCGGGGGCGGTTTAGAAAAGGCAAAAACACCATACGGCCCGACGCGCCGAGTAAGGGAGAACCGCCCGCCTTCCTTCCCTTGAGGCATATCGACCATTTTCCTGAGTAAACTCACACACTACACACACGCGCGCACCGCGCTGCCGGCGGCCTGCCGCCCACTTGATCCGCTGGGAGACCCGAGGCCTTGCCCGAGGCCGTTCCAAGCGTCTGCCCGCCCTTGCTTCATCAAAACAATCCCCCGTGCGTCCACTGTGTGCAGGCCCTGCAGGACCCCGGCCCGCAGTATTGGCCAGCCCCATGCTTGTTTACAGCCTGGCCGGCGCGGGCCGGGGGAATGTGAAAGTGTACTCACTCCGGGCCGAAGACGTCCTGGCACTTCTGCAGCGACAGTTCCAGCGGGTAGTGGCCCTTCCAGTGCGCCAGCGTGGTGAAGACCCCCTGCTCCGTGCACGACTGGTACAGCGAGGGCCGGTCTGGAACATGACACGTCGCCGTGACAACCCGTTTCCGGCGCCCCGCCGCCTGGCCGCGCTTCGGTCCACCGAGTCGCTTCGAGCGCTGCCCGGCGCCGCCCTTACCGTAGATCTGGTCGCCGTCCTGGTCCACGGCCTCGCCCCAGTTCTCCTTCTGCGCGCCGGCGATGCTGTCCGCGTAGCTGATGGTCTCGCACAGCTTGTCGTCGGACATGCCGAAGCCGCCCGCCTCCGCCAGCCGCTCGGCCTTGGACTTGGGCGTCGTGCCCTCGCGCAGGAGGTGGCAGACCTCGCCGACGATGTCGTAGTTGGGGTCCACGTTGATGGAGCTCACGGTGCTGGCGGGGACGGTGGCGATGCGGTTGAACAGCATGTCCACGTCCCAGGGCTTGTCGCCGAACGGTTTGCAGAGTCTGTCGAGCGAGGCCGGTTGTTTAGAGCAGGCGAACCAAAACGGGGAGCGAGCCGAGACTTCCACAGCACGGCGCTTACTTGAAGGTGTCGACGAGCCCTTGGATCCCCGCCGACGTCTTGCTCTCCGCGTCCACGTAGTCCACCACGTCGCGGACCACGTCGGCGCACTGCTTGTCACCGTACTGCTCCAGCTTCTTCATCACCTCGTCGATGTACTCTGGACGCACGCAAAACGAAAAAAACCGCTAAAATAACGAACTGTACAACAGCGAGCTGTGCGCGCCGTGCGACTGGGCGTACCAGGGAAGTCGACTTTGGCGAGCAGCGGCGCGCTGGAGGCGACGGCCGCGTGGACGAGGTGGGGGTACTTGAGGCGGGCCCAGGTGGCCAGGTTGCCGGCGTAGGCGCCGCCGTACAGCACGACCTGCGAGCCAGGGAGTGTCAGCGAGTGTTACAGTGTGCGCGATGATGACTGTCATTGCCGCGGGGCCCTGGCGGGGCGGCGCACCAACCAACCTTGGACTGCTCCGGGATGAGCGCCTGCTTCCTCAGGTAGGCGATGAAGTAGGCGATGTCGGCGACCGCCTGGTCCTGGCTGAGGTACCGCAAGCTTTCCAGCTTCAAGTCCCTGGAACAAACGGAGCCCCATTAGGACACAACAGATGGGGCTGGGCCGGGACGACGCGGCGCGGCGCGGTGCCCCATCCGTCAGCGCGGCGACTGTGACGAGGCGAGGCGAGGCGACTCACCCGGTGGGCCGGCTCTCGCCGTAGAAGCGGTGCTCCAGGTGGAAACTGCGGCCCTGGAGGCTGTCGCCGATCTTGGCGGCGAAGCTGTTCATGAGCTGCATCTGGCTGTGGATGGGCTCCTGGCCGCTCAGCAGGATGAAGGCAGGCCCGTCCGCCGCGTTCGCCCCGACCCACGACACGTAGCGCTGCGGGGACGGAAGGGGAGTTGTTGAAGGCGGGCAGAGCTCGGCAGACTCACAGTGAAGGCGAGGACTTTTTGAGCTCTGCAGTCCTCGAACAGGACTCGTTTCAAACCCATGGCAGTGCCAACAGAGTCGTCGCTCGAAAGGGCATTCCACTGGCAGTGCTGGTCCTATTTTGGTCTGCAGAGCTCAAACAGATCCCACCTAAACAGCCGGCCTGGTCCACTGCGAGGCACGGCCCTACCTGCTTCCACGTCCTGCGGTCCGACGGGCTGAAGTGGTCCAGCTTCTGCTCGAACGTGTCCGTGCTGACGGAGGGGCCGCGCAGGGCGGCGGGGAGGGCGGCGGGCCGGGGGCCGAGCAGGGCGCCGTCGACCAGGGCGGCCGCCGACAGCACCGACAGGGCGAGCACCTTCCACATGGCTACCTCGGAGCGGTGCAGCACGTACCACGTCCCGCGCCGGCGAGTCGTTTGGGGAGAATGGACCGGCACCGTCCGGTACTCAAATAAGCACCGGTCGGCGGCAAGGCCTCCCCGCCCCCACCCCGCCCCAGAGATAGCCCACCGCCTCTTGTGTACAGAGACTGATAGAGTGCCCCTACGCCGTGGGCTTCCGTGGAGTGGAGCGGGCCGGCCGCGGCAATAGCGCGAAAGGGCACCACACTGCCATGTATTCCTTTCGAAACAAAATTGCTTGTGTGCGTGTATGTGGCGCCGACGCTGCGAAAGACTCTCCAACTGCGCGGGGGTCTTTGGCATGGCGGAGTGGGTGCGTCGTTGCTCTCGCACTACTTGTTGCGGCTTCGGAGCACTTTGGGCCGACCCCGCCCCGCCCCGCCCCGCCCCGCCCCGCCCCGCCCCGCCCCGCCGCAGCTTCCAAATGTTATCGCCCGCTGAGCGACGCCAGCGACGCCAGCGACCTCATGTGCGCCTTATGGCGGGACTTAGTGGTCGCCTCTGGGCTCGCCTCCGGGCCGACATCGTTTCTCGCTCTATTTCCCGGGGCGGGGGGTGTGCCGAAGGGATAACCACTCTGTGCTTCTGGCGACTGATTTGAATACTCTCTCCGTCCGCAGGGCGCCCAGAAGATCTCCGTGCCACACACGCCCAACAAGCCAATGACTGTCAAGCAGATATTAAGGTGAGTACCGCTGTTGTTTCCAGCGCTGTGGCCGTATGCCATGTTTCGGACTCCAGGCCGTGCCCCCTGCCCGCGCCCCCACAGCGTGCCCACACCGTCTACCGTGCCAAGGGAGGTTGCAGCAGTTCTTAAATGCCCATTCAATGAGAGCTCCTGAAGGACACGGCCGAGACCGGTGCAGTTTAATGGCCTTGAGTGAGAAGAGGGTGAAAAGTGGAGTTTCCGTTACGAACCGCCCCACCCTCCCCTCACACCGCGGCCACACCGCGAAACGCACGCCGCCTGAGTTCACCCAGGCACACCTCCGGCCAACCACACCGGACCGGGACCGCACCGCTAACCTCCCGGAATTTCAACCTCAACTGCGCTGAATCGCTTCCAAGCGGAAGAGCGGATCAATTATTCCCCGCCCGTTCCGCCCTTTCTGCCCTTCCGGCCGGCGGGATTCGTTAACTTCCGGTCGCAGGGCGAAGTTCCGGCGAAGGAGCTACACTGCGAACCTCGCCGCGCGGACATCGGGACGTCGGGGAGGAGAAAGGCGGCCCGGGCTGCATCTCCTTTATACGCCGTGCCCGCCGGCACTGCTGTAAATAACGAGGATTTATACCCGGGAAAAATAGAGCAGGCATCCCAGGCAGGAGGCCTGCGCCATGCCTGCGCCGCGGGTTCAACTCCCCCCGCCCGCGCCGCACCGCGCCGCACCGCGCCGCACCCCCTTGGTCCACTTTCGTCCCCAATGCAGCAGTGGCGCCTCCCTGCGGGGCTCCCTTAAATTACTTACTTCATTTGCAAAGTGTAGGCTGGCGGGGGGAGGAGGGAGGGAGGGGGCAGGAAGCGGACCTAAGTAGGACGGAAGGGGCGGGAGGGGCTAGGACTGCATCTTGCTGCGTGCCGCGTGTTATAGCGGACCGGCCAAATTTTGCGAGCGTTCATTAGCCGGGTGTGCCAGCCTTAATTCGCTGGCGTGGCGGGCGGGGCGGGGCGGGGCGGGGCGGGGCGGGGCGGGGCCTCCTCCAGGGTCGGCCGTCAGGACCTCCTATCCTTGGCAACACGGGTGGCGCCATCCGGGGCGACCTGCAAGGTGCAGTAAATGGGCGCGAGTGCCGTGTGCCGTACTACGGCCCGATAAGATAAAGTTTTTTTTCGGCTCATCAGCGATCGCGGTCGTGATTTGAGGGTCGTTGCCTGAAGGCGCCTTGGCGCGCCTCGGTCTCCAAGAGGGAGGCGTCGCGGGACGGAAATAGGTCAGTGAACCTGGCGGCCCTGGCGGCCCTGGCGGCCCTGGCGGCCCTGGCGCGTCGCCCCGCTGGGCTCCCACACACGGGACGGGGCGGCCGGAGCTCGCAGGGGGGCACCACACCGAAAATCCAAGTGTGTGCAAGTTGAGTACACATTTAAGTGCTCTCTGTACTTACACACCTAGTGTCCAGTGCAGTCAGACACCACGAGAACCACTCGTCACGTTGCTGCAACTCTGATTGACACACTATACGCGCTACACCGGAAAACTCGCTCTGTAACGCGAACGGAAGATAAGAAAATGCGTCTCACGATTCTCATTCCTCGGGGCCATTTCCAAACTCGGTTTCAAAACTGCGTAGAGCTGACCGGCAACGCGCGGCTGGCTGCTGACTCACTGCCGGAGGCCCTCCTTCCCACGAACACTTGCTTTGCATTCTCCGCATTAATCAGACGAGACGAGAACACAAAAAATACTCGATTGCCCGCGGCCAACTTGTCCTACGACAAGAGCGGGTATTTATTTTCGGACTCAGATTGGCGGCAACCGGTACTCGAGCTGCGACTGGCGGGGCGTCGCCGGGGAGGCGTGGTCGCAGTGGCGGTGTTACCGTGGCCGCCAAACGGCCGCAGACATGTCTGTCATGTCTATCGCGGAAGGGTCGGGTCGAATCGAGTCCACCGCTTCACTTTTGGACTGCAGCGCGACCGGCCGGGCCCAGGTCCTCGAGGGCCGGTTACTTTCCGATCAGGTGGAGTGGCTGCCGTTGGCGCCGAGGCTGCGCGCTACCCCCCCCCCTTCCCCCGGGACCTACTGTACGCCACTGTACTCGCTGCCCACACAACGCCGCCCCCAGGCCCACGCACACACGAGGCCTTAATTTTTCGTGAGCCCGGTGCGGAGGGAGATGTGTCTATTTTGGAGGTCTTGGAGCCCGAGTGGCCCATGGGCCGATGGGATGGGATGGCACCCCGTGCCTACACCGGCGTGCCGGGGACGCGTCAGGCGATCGGCGGGGCGGCGGGGCCTCCGCCACGCCCCCTCGGGGCCCCAAGCCCACGGCGCCGCGGCCCGCACACCTCACGACCCCGCACTCCCAGAGAAATAAAGAAAAGTAGGAGGCAACAGTTACCAGCCGGGCTGGATTTTGTGGTTAGGCCACCAAGTTGGACTGGAATTATGGTGTTCGCGTAACGACAAAATACAGCCTGGGGTAGCCATAACGGTGTGTTCCACTTTTCATTTCTCTGAGTGCTCCAAGACCGTCTTCCACGACCGCGCGCCCTCCGCGACTACGACCTCCACGACCTCCAAGACCGCCTCGCCATCGCGGCCGTCGGGGCGGAGGCGCAAAGTGGGGCCTATCTGGGATGCACCCAGCCGGCCCGCCCTCTCTCCACTCTTTAATCACCCCCAAAACAACAAAATGGAACGAAAGGGTTGCTGGAGTGTGCGGAGCGCAGCGGTGGCCGCGTTGGCCGTGTTGGCCCCGCTCGCAGTGAGGGTGAGGTGGAGGTGCACCCTGGCGGGGCCGTCCCACCCCACCTCGCCCCGCCCCGCCCCGCGTCTCTGCGAAAGAATGACAACCGCTTTGGCGAGCCGCCCAGTGTGCCGAGCTGCCGAGCCACCCCCCGCCTCCCTGCCGACGCTCTCCGGCGATCACATTTACACGCACACACACACTCGCAGGGAGAGCGGGGAGGGTCTTTGGCCCCAGTCCGCCTCACGTGGCTCACAGCCAAAGTCTGTTTGTCCATCAATAACGGTTGCCTCGCCAAGTCTGCACAGGTGCCGGGTAATGATGGTCCTGGAGGCTCGCTGGAGGCTGGCTGGAGGCTGGGGGTCGGCCTGGAGGCCCCGCTGGAGCCCCAAGGGGCACGGCCGTGTCGCGCGGCGTGTCTGAGGCATGCATAAGGTATCGACCTGATTTCCCTTTTTATCTCTCTTTCCGCAGCAACTTCCCCAACGTGGAGAAGATGGAGAAGGGACCAAAGGAAATCTTCGCGCCGGAAATACAGAAGGTAAGCCAATCTGCCCTCCGGATTTGTTTCCCTTTGATATTCTTTTTCTCTGGCGGCGTGCGGCGCTGCAGCAAAACAAGGCCGGCTGCGCGGCGCGTGTAGGCGCGTGGGATGTGAGGCTGCCTCCAGGCGCCTCCAGGCTTCTCCAGGCACGCGGCGGCGCGGCGCTGCAGGCCAGCCACTCGGCATTGCCAACACTCCGGGAGGAAAAGTGAAGCCGAGTCCACCTGGGGGTGCTGGGGGCTCGACGCGCGCCGGGGCGAAGCAGGCGAAGGTGGCCCCACTGCGGCGGCTGTCCGGCCGTGCGCGCGGGTCAACGTCCTGCAGGCCAACTAACGCGCGCGCGTGTGTGTGTGTTTGCCAGGACCTTTTGTTGCTGGAGGAGCAGGAGGGCTCCGTCAACTTCAAGTTCGGCGTGCTGTACACCAAGCCCCAGCAGGTGACGGACGACGAGATGTTCAGCAACGGTGAGCAAAGCGAGCAAAGCAGGCGCACCCCCGACACGCCAAAGAAAGGCAGACTTGATTACTGTTTGTTTATCCCATTCTTTCCGGCTCGCAGAGGAGGGCAGCCCCGAGTTCCACCGCTTCGTCAAGCTGCTGGGGGACGAGGTGAAGCTGAAGGGCTGGAAGAAGTACCGCGGGGGCCTCGACGTCAAAGGTACGGCTCTTGTTGTTGTTGGTTGGTGTTGCTGCTGCTGGCTTGTTGTTGTTCCCCGCTGCGTTGGCCGCCTCGCGTGTCTACGGCAGCCCGTCATCGCCCATTGACATGCGGTGCGCCGCGGCACACGTGGCGAGGTGTGGCGTGGCGAGGTGTGGCGTGGCGAGGCGTGGCGAGGCGTGGGCGTAGCGGCGCACCGAGCGAGGCACGCCCCTGCGCCTGGCTGCTGCGCTCCGCCGTGGTGGCGCACGGTGGCGCGGTGCGGTGCCGTGGTGTTGTGCTGTGGCCTCAGGAAACTAATGGCGTTAGCCATAGACAGGCGTGTCAGTAAATAGCGAATGGCCGCCAGCCCAGCTAGCCCAGCCAGCCGGTGGGCCGTCCCGCCACGTCCAGCCCCGTCCAGGCACGTCCAGCCAGCGGACCTTGCCGCGACCTTGCCCGCCAATTGATTGTGGTGGCCGCCCTGGCCGCTAATGAAGGCCATTAATCGTCGTTTCGCGTCACTGTCACTCCTTTTCTTTTCCCCCGGCCAGGCGACATGACGGGCAAGCACTCGGTGTACACAATCTACGAAGGGCACGAGATCATGTTCCACGTCTCCACCATGCTGCCCTACTCCAAGGACAACCGTCAGCAGGTATGTCACGACGAGTTCTCGGCGGCGTCGCGGCGTTCTTCGGGTGGTGCAAGCCCCGTCTAATGCGAGGGTGCTGGTCGCAGGTGGAGCGGAAGCGACATATCGGCAACGACATCGTCAACATCGTGTTCCTGGACGGCGGGCCCTCGCAGATGGGCACCTTCAACCCGTCCTTCATCAAGTCCCAGTTTACTCGTATCCTTTTCATGCCGCGGGATCGAGACCGTGCACTCTTTGATGTCTGGGGCGGGGGTGGGGTGGGGGCGAGGCGCGGGCCGGGGCTCAATGAGATGAGCGGTAAAAGGTCGGGACGGCCTCGGGCGCGTCGAAGGTCGCGCACTCTCTTTCTCTCCCTTTCTGTGCCGTTCCTTACCGCGCCCCAGACGTGTTCGCGCTCGTGACCCACGACGCCGAGGCCGACGCCTGGAGGCTGGCCGTCTACTCCGAGGAGTCGGTGCCGCTGTTCGGGCCGTCGCTGCCCTGCCCGCCCGTCTTCACCAACGACGACGAGTTTCGGGAGTTTCTCCTCGTGAAAAGTAAGTGGGCTCGCCTCCTTGCCGCCTTGTCGCCCGACCGAGTGATTCCACGCAATGCGGCCGCCCGGCTATCTCTCTCGCACCTCGTACCCATACGGTGCATTCCCGGGAGTGCAAGAGGGAGGGAGACCTGCCGTGGCATGAGTCAGCTGAGATTGCCCGCACGTGCTCGCTCGCCTGGGAGTTGGGAGGCCTTTCTAGCCTCGCAACGCGTTCAGTCCAAGGCCCGCGAGTGGTGCACCCGACTGGTGCACCCAGCCGGAGGGGCCGGCCCGCCAGCCGCTGGGTGCATGAGTCGTGCAGCGCTATCTCGCTCAGACAAAACTGGTTGCTTCGCGTTGCTACGTTGGGTAATTACGGCCTTATCGGGCCTCAACTTTCGGCTCGAGTGTCGTCCCAACATTGTACTCTCTATTTCTCCTAATCTTGACCCCTTTTCTTTCCCTGCTCCGACTAACTTCGCCTCTGCCCCGCAGTGATCAACGGCGAGAAGGCCGCCTTCAACACGCCCACGTTCGCGCAGAAGCGGGAGCGCACGCTGGACATGCTCATCAAGGACCTGCACTCGGAGCACATGCCCGACGGCCGCACGGTACGCCCGGTGGCGCCCAGTGGAACAAAACGGCCGCCGACGGGGCGTTGAACCGCCGAACCCGAGTCTTGACACTCGCCCTCTCTCTGTGCAGACGATGCTGAACCGGCGTGCCTTCTCGGACGTGCTGCCCGACGCCCCCCGAGGCGTCAGCGGGTCCGCGTCGTCGCGCCGCAAGGAGGAGACCCGACAGGTTCGCCTCGCTCCGCCAACTTTGCCGCCCGCTTTGTTTTCTTCCAAAAGTATCTCCGCCTTCCCCGCCGCGCAAGCTTGGCGATGCTGCGCGCTGCGAAGGCGGCTTCGGATTGATGAGCGCGGCTTCCTCCGAAATAATGAATTTTGTTGCGCGCCGTGGCAGGGCGGGAGGGGGAGGGGGGGGGTGCTCCGGTGCGACCGCCAAATCGCCGCTCTCCATCCCGCGCCGCTTTGTGCTCGCGGAGCGTAGTGGCGCCTAGTGGCGCCTAGTGGTGCCGCGGCTCGAGCACCGGCTCGAGCACCGGGGCGGCCGACCTCGCGGCGACCTCCGCGCGCTTTGACAGCGCTGGGCCGCGGGGCGCTAGGTGCGGGGCAAGAACCGGGCCCGCCCCGCCCCCATTTGTATCGAGGCCCCGCGGCGTGCGCCTGGCGTGCACAAGGCCCGGCCGGGGGCGGGGCGGGGCACGTCGCCCGAGCGCGCCGAGGGTCCGCAACGGCGATTTGACTTGTCGGGGGCAGCCGCTTCTGGAGAGATGCCGGACCTGGCTCCAGGCCGCTCCAGGCCCTGGACAAAGCCGCGTCGAGTCCCGGGCGACGGCCATTGCCTGGAAAGTGGCGAGGCGAGAGGCTATTTCGGCGCGGCGGCTCGCCCGTTTTTGTTTTGTTTTTTCGCGGCCCGGGCGCCGTACAGTGGACACCCCTGTCCCCTGGGGTGGCGCGCCCGCCACCCGCCGCCCGGCCGCCGCCCCGCGTGAGGCTAGCGATGCGTGACGTGTCACTGGCGTGTTCAGGTGGAGTTCGTCCGCTTCGGCCAGGGGCTAAAAGTGGACACCATCGAGCGCGGCGACGCCCCCACCTCGCTGGCCACTTCCGGGCTGTTCAAGCGCGCGCCCTGGGAGCCCATGTGCTTCTACCCGGACTTCAGCCAGGAGGTGGTGTGCGGCGACTCGTGGGGCGACTCCCGCCTCGTCGTCGCCACGGAGCAGGGCGTCTACATCGTCAACAACGACGAGCACTCCGGCGGACCAGGTAGGCCGTGCGGCCGCGCGTCCGCGCACCGTGCATTCGCCATGAGGGTCTAAGGGTGTTCGACGAGCGGCCGGCCCGGCCGGGTCAGCACCCTGGGGCTCGATCCCGAGTATCGTCCGTACTCATTAATGCACGAGCGCCAGCCGAGGCCTCCGCGCGGGCATCGCACTGTCAAAAAGTCTAGTCTCAGCAACTAGGATTCTGCTGAGTACTAGAACGTTTAACCAGGTTCCTAGTATCAGACAGGCGTGCAGCTTGCGCGGGTTTTGTCGCTGCCCTCGCCTGTTCCAGATGGGCTGTCCCAGCGCACCATCATGGACAAGACGGTCATCGTGCGGCAGCTGCACGTCGTGGAGGCGCACGGCATCCTGCTCTTCCGCACGGACAAGATGGGTACGTAATCGTCGCTGCGTTTCTGTCGCAATCACGGGGCGTCCCCGCGGTGGTTTTCTAATGGGAACGCCTCGCCTCCGCCTCGCCTCCGCCAGGCCGGGACAACAAGCTGATGCACGTGTTCCGGCTGTCGGACTTCGAGCAAGGCGAGCAGGGCGCGGCGCCGCCGCTGCAGCTGCCGCTGGGCCGCAGCGAGATCAAGGAGCACCGCCTGGAGCGCACGCGCGGCTGCCACCTCTACGCCGTGTCGCGGCCCGGCGGCTCGCACCTGCGCGTCGTCGTGGCCATCAAGAACAAGCTGCTCGTGATGCAGTGGCGCCACTCGGCCGCCTGGACGGCCTGGTGCCCGGCCTCGGACACGGACACCGTGGAGGGCTTCCAGAACCTCAGGGTGAGTGCGACGGTGGAGGGCCGGCGCACACTGGGCCTGAGGACCGGTGGCGGCGGCCAAAATTCTATAGACGCGTTTTGAGCTCCAGAGTCGCTAAATGGGACTCGAACCAAACGTGTGACCCCACCAATGGATTGCTCTCCGAGAGAGGAATCCATTGGTGGGGTTATACGTTCGGTTCGAGTCCTGTTTCACGACTCTGGAGCTCATAACGCGTCTAGAATTTTGGCCGCTTCCCTGGCCCCCTGTGCGTGCGCTGACGCCATGCTGACGGCCACGTTGCGCAGGACATCACGGTGGCCGAGTCGCCGACCCTCATCACCCTGGTGGACTCGACGCTGGGCGGCTCCGCGGGCGGCGCCGACAACTACATCTGCGTCGGGTACCGCCACCAGTTCGACCTGGTGGGCGAGCGGTCCGGCGAGGTTGTCAAGCTGCACGCCGTCGAGGGGTCCAGGTCGCACCTGGTGGCCGCCGTCGACCTGTACGAGGATGAGGAGCCCGAGCTGCTGCTCTGCTACAATCGTAAGGGCCGCACTTTATGAAGGTTTTCCCGTTTTCTCCGTTTGGAGTTGGCTTTTGAACCGCCTCTTTGTCCCCTCTGCCAGACACCTGCCACTTCCAGAAGCTCTCAGAGGCCAGGACGACCACCGAATTCGACTTCCACTGGAACTCGGTGCCTTGTGCGATAGGTAAGTCCACGCGCCGTCGTCTGTATTTCTTTGCGTGGCTTGCTGGCTTGTTCGCGTGTGACGTTGCTTTATGTCTTTTACAGTGTGCGCCTTCCCCTACATCATAGCCTTCACGCAGGACTCGATGGAAATCCGTCTCGTCATCAACGGCAACCTGGTGCAAACCATGGTCATGCCCAAGTTGGCTCTGATAACATCCAAAGTACGACATGTTGCAGTCTGCGTTCATACGAAGCCAGTACCGGTGCAGTGACGCTAACGCTGTCTTCGTTCGTTCTAGAATGACATCTTCTTCGCGACCACGGCCCCAGAGTTCTTCCCCAACCGCACCGAGTGCCTGCACGTGGACCACAAGGACAACAGGGACACCATGTCGCCGCCCGCCTCCCCGCACAGTGAGTAGCGCGAGGCGCCCGAGAAGTTGGAGTCGAGAGTCGGCTGTGGCAGATAGATGAACCGTCGCTACACTGTGGGCCGCGCGCCAGCCGCGCGCTCACTGATGCACTGCTGGGCGCGAACCAGTCACAGAGTGGTTGGTCTTGTTTTGCACGTCCTCCCTGTGACATGCCGGAAGGGTGGTCTACCTGGCGCCGCGGTGTAACTATGGCGACAAAATGCCTTTGACGTGGTGCTCTCCGAATGGCACCCTCATGTTCAAATAACGGCCCGAAATGGCAAACGATCATTTGCGGTCCAGCCATGAGTAGCAATAGCAATAATGAAGGTAGGCAGCCCGAGGTGGGCTGCGCTCCCGCGTGATGCGCGTTGCCTATCCCTCCGTTGGCAGGCGCTCAGGGAGTCAGGAGTCGATCTGACTTGACTTGTCTGACGGTATTTCTGTTTCTCTCCGCCCCGCAGCGTCGTCGCCAGAGGCGCGCCCGTTCCGGCTGTACCGCATCCCGCTCCACGTGCTGAGCGGCATGGTGGCGCCGGTGGACCGCCGCTGCCCCACGCCGTCGCCCGAGCCCCCCGCCAGCGGATGCGCCAGCAACTGCCCCAGCGGCTCGGGCTCGCCCGCCGCCGCCACCACCCCCAACTCCAGCAGCAAGGGCGGGCTGGGCGTGCCGGGCGTCGGGGGCGGCGGCGCCGGGGGAGGCATCGGGGCCGGGCCCTCGGGCAGCAGCGGCAGCAGCAGCCTCCTCGTGGACCCGTACCGCCAGCTCAGCAGGTCCTGCTCCTCGTCGCCCACCCCCCACCAGCCGTCGGGGTCCTTCCTCGCCTCCAAGACCACGAATTGAGCCGCCTCGCGGCCCCTCACCATCCTCACGGTGGACCGGGGAAGTGCCACGGCGGCGGCCCTGCGTCACCGCGCTGCGTGCAGACGGCGTGCCTCCGTTCGTGTCGGGTTGCTCTCGGCGGGGTGTCCAGTGAAGGAATCAAGTCTCTGGCTGCGGCGTGACTGCGTGACGCGGCTTCGCGTCTCAAGGCTTCCCTCTTGTTTCTGTTAAACTTTTCTATTTTCTTTTCTTGTTGCGGGTCCAAGTCGCCAAAGCGGGCAGCGCTGGCTTGTCTGGCGTGTGCCGGAAGCGTAGCAGTGTAGATGCTGTGGGTCCATTCCTGTCCTGTCTCGCTCTCGCTCGCTCGCGTTGTTTCGTTGTTCTGTCTTACCGCCCCTCGCTCCGAGAGGCAAGTAGGTAAGCCACAGCCCAGGAACTGCTCGCTCGCGTCCCACGGTCATCGAGACAATGTTCACGGGGTGACGCCTCCTCCGCTGGATCTGGGGAAAGCGAAGTGCTGGCGCCAAATTTTGTTTAGGTGTAGCAAACAGGCAAATACAATCAGAATCTTAACAAAAAAAAAAAAGGTTGTGGTCATTTTATTTCATTTCATACTGTGTATTATCGGTTCCAGAACTTTGCCTGTCCATTAACCCAATCATAAAAAAAGTTTGGTTTCGTAAATACTATTTTTTTCTTTTCTTTCTTTCTTACTCGAATAATGTCTAGATGTTTGTTTCCGATGGTTGAAATCCATCGTATAGTGGCCGTATCGTAATATAGGCGGCTGTATCAGAAAGTTATATATTCTCTTTACAGTATTCAATATCATATATTTTCTATACCACTTACATGTTATTAGGAAGTGTGATATCAAAGAGTAAACCAAAGTAATTGTACAAAACTCAATTTTCCAAAGTTTGTGTTTTGGTATGCTAGAGTTCCAGAAATTCTTATGTGCCATAGCCAGCTATTATTGTATCTTAATTATTCTGTTGGAACTTTCCACTGCAATGTGTAAAGAAGAAAATATTTTTCAGTAATCCTGAAGGAAAGCTCAAATAAATATTTTGTACAGATCAACACACAGATACGACTCATCTAGTCACATTGAGTGTATATGTTTATCCAGAGTGTGTCTCACAGGGACTCAAACTTAATCCTTAGAATTTCGCTTCATGAAAACATATGCCATTCTTAGATAAACCATGTAAATCAGAGTGCTTTGTGTATGCTTACTCGCACTTCTCTTCTAGACCAAATGCACCATAATTCTGTGTGTTCCTGTCAGTTAGTCAATCACGTTTCAAACCAAGCCACAAAAAGAATACTAAGGGGGCATTTTTAGTCATTGCCACTCAATACAATTGAGAGCCTTTCTAAGAAGACCAAAATTCTGTTATCAGAACAACAGAAAATTAAATATTATATCAGAACCAAATTATACTGGTAATGGCACAACCTTGAACAAAATTGCACATTTTAAAATTAAGAAACTTCCAATTTCAATGAAAAATGGCTTTTAGTAGAGGAAAAATATTTGTGCTTATGATGTTTAAAATGTACAGTATGTAAGGAATACAACCAAACATTGTTGATTTGGTGCTAATACACATTTGAGATATCATATTAGTAATACAGTTAAAGCTTGTGAACCTCACCTTTGATTTTTTTTTTTTCAAATGTGTTTACTGGTATGTATAGTGATTTAGATAAGAATAGGAGAAACACAATACTGTACGTTGGTTTACTCCTCCAGAGCTAACTTTGCTGATGTGGTGCTGATAATATAATGCAGGAATGTCAGATGTTTCAAGATGACACCTGCCAAATTTCACACAAAATTGATTTTCTTCTCCTGGAAAAATATTCTAGTACCATATTATAGCGTTAGATTTTCTTAAATTATATGTTTGAAAAGTCCTTAAATAATATTGGTTGAGATTATTTTGTACTTCCCAATGCAAAGCATTTTTACATTTTGTTGGTGCTTCAGTGCTCCTTCCTAGATGCAGGAGGTAGTAATCTCATACATGTTTTGAGACAATACAGTGTGGTATACGCAGGCTAATTACATTGAGTATGATTTGTGGAGAGTTAGATACTATGTAAAGCACAAATTATTATTATTCAATGTTTCTATTTTCTCTTTTGTGATTGTTTGTATTAATTTGCAATGGAATGAGAAAAAGCTAACACTCATTAAACAAAAAAAATTAAAAATTTTGGGCCAAAGTTGTAAGTGCTAAAGAAGGAGTAGTTTTATGTTTGTTTCTCCCTTGTTTTGTCATTCATCTCTATGGTATTATAGAGTTCATCTCCAGCTCTGTGATAAACACCAAAGTTGTACATAATTATACATATTATTATGACCTTTCCTAATATCTGTAGCAGAAAAACCTCTTTAAATGCCACATATTCAATCGAGTGTGTAAATATGAATATAATTTTAAGATAGCTCGTGCATTTTGGGTTTGATGTACTTGAGTCTTCAAATGGCTCTGAAGCTGTACAAATATGTAACACTGAGAATGTTACGTAGTCCATGTGATAAGAATGTCCTAATTTTTCTTCTAGATTGATTGTTCCAATATAGTGTGAAAAAGTAATTCTACTATCGAACTTCCCTTCAGTTTACCACCTCAGTTACGGCATTATGTTTCTTGGTGGTCCACCAGTTGTCAAGTTATTGCTGCTAATGTAATTGCTTATTGGTGCTGGTAATTTCATTTAAGTTTTTGTAATGTTCAGCCACCAAATGGCTTAGTCATCCATTAATCTGTACATACATTTGTGTATAATATTGACGATATTCCATATAGATGTGAAATTGCCATTACTCACTAGACTTTGTTTCAATCATCTTTTTTCCTTTTGTGCCCATCAATTGGTCTGCATTGCTTTCCCTCTCCAGTTTGTATATTTTTCTTATATTAAATTCTTATTATTTCATGTGTGATATAATATTTCTTAACAATAAGATCAAGTCATACTTTCATGGTATTGTATTAAGATTCAGAATGGTTGGCATCTGTGATTTGGATGAATGGGCGAGACGTCTGGCCCATTTATTAGATTAGTTGTGGTGAACTGAGTTGAAAGTCTTACAAATATGCATTCTTTAAGTAAGTTATAAATTGGTAAGTAACATGATAGTTGGGTGGCAGATTGCACACTCGCAAAATGCTAAGCAATATGAACTGGAGAAAGGTGCAATCAGAACTACGTGAATGGTCTTAATGACATGCTAAATGTATAGCTGTACAAAAAAGCTTGAAAAATTATTTGTTTTACTTCTAAAATTTTAATCACATGTTGAAAATGTTAGAGACTTTGGTTAGTACCTGTGGGCTTACTTTTGGCCTATAATTTACGTGTACATAATTCTTTGAGCCTGTATCGGCCAACCTAGGCCCTGCTGGCACCATCTCTCTATCAGCTGTCTTTCGTCTGTAGGTAAAGTGATTGTAACATGGAATCCATGACAAACATATTTACAACATTAAAATAAATTCCTTGTGTGTGTGGGTACCAATAGAAACCCTGAAATAAGCATAAATAAACAAAAAAAAAAGGTTACTAAATAAATGTATTATGCAGCACTTCGTGTGCCAGTCATTTATTCATCCTTTTCAGTTCCGATATATCTAATATGGGACACAATACTGTATTAGTTGAGAACCACAGAATACACATGGCCAGATCACTACCTCCTATACAGCAAACTTCTATTTAAGATTATGTAAATAATCTGGCTCAAGTCCCAAAATTGACATAAAGAAACCAAATTATCTTTGCAGTTTTTATTCTGCCAAGTATTGGTAAAAATAAAACCATTCTAAATAGAAAATGTTTTATGCATTACAATCAATAACAGAATATCAAACATTGTATCAGTTTGAGGAACAGAAAAAAAAAAGATTTGATACTTTTCATGCACAGAGGAAAACAAAGAACAGAAATGGTCAAAAGCTTACATTTATGTTGACTTAGAGACGAGGCATCTCATTCACGGTGGATTTCTGATCCTGGTTTGAAGCCCAGGCCTTGGCAATTGTTCTCTTCATTTCATCATCACCATCATCATACATTTGCTTCAACAATCCCATGATGCTGGAGGAAGGATCATCTGAAGGTTCGTACTTTGGAGGCGGCTTCTTCTCCGTTACTTTCTTCTCACCACCAGTTAAATGAGACCATGATTCACCAACTTTAGATTTGGCCAAGTACACTATCACATTATCTGCAAAAAAGAAAGAAAGATTGTGCGTAAAAGATTGGCACAAGATAAGTTCATTCATACCACACAACACAAAATTTACAAACCATTTTTAACTTTAAAGTAGCTCTTTTCAACATTGATTTCTTCCAACAAGTTCACAATTGGAAGGTGATGGTTGCGATTTTCCAAAGCATTGACACGGAGTTCCATGGATCTATAAACCATAGAGGGACAACATGTATAAGTTCACTTGTTGGCAAAACTCTTTTGTATCACCACCAAACCTTTCTTACCTGTTTTTGAAATCACAAGTGACATTTTCTGCTGGGATTGTGTGAATATTCTTAAGGGTAACAAATATTTTTACAAATTTTTCAGACTGATCCCAAGCTGAAAAAAAATAAAATTTTGCAGGTAAAAAAATCCATTTATGTTTTCAGGTACAGGTGTTAAGAGAAAATGGAAACTCACCATAGTTTGTAATTTTCACATCATAACACCTTGCACCACTGGCAACAATGGAGGTTTGGGTAGAAGAGCCAGCTTTGCTTTCCTCATTCTCCTTGGAGATCTGTTCTTGGATACGAATAATTTCAGTCTCAAGTTTACGCAAGTCCAGAGACAAAGCGTCTTTGACTCGCTGCCTAGTGGCCTTCGAAAGCAATTGCTTCAGTTCTTCTGCATCAAGACGCAGCTGCAATCAAAATCATCACATATATCAGAAAACAGTGCAATTAAATGTCATCATTGATACGATGACATTTACAAAGAACCAGAGAGAACACACAAGGCTAGATGAAATAGGCATTGCCGGAACAAATGAAACAGTACAAAAAAACTCATACATCAGAGGAAAGAAATGCACTAAGCAATTCACAACCACATGAAACACGACGTTTGAATCTTATCAATTGAATGAATGTGCAATGTCCCAACGTTCATGCAAACAATGGGAGTAACTTGGGGTGTAATCACAACCTACCTCTTCCATTTTAGTGACACTCATGTTTATCCAAAATGTGACAATGACACACGAAAGTAAGTAGGGCCGTAGCGGAAAGCGGCCCACAAAACGCCAGCAAAGAAGCTGGAAGTGTAAGTTAAAAATGCGTTCTTAAACGTTAAAATTGCCTAAACACGCCTAGCACCGAAATGAAACGAGTACCGCTCTCGAAACTGCTTTCGATTTTTCTGGAAAACTCTACTCTTGCCAACATTTGAAATATGAACAATTCGTCGTGTGGTGTTTAAAAGCTTCATGTGTTTCTTCTTCAAACGGCTTAAAAAAATTGTGTTTAGGGATATCTTTATACCTCGCTTATTGAAAGCAATAGATTTTATTGATGAGAAAGCTTTGAAGTTGAACATCGCTAACTGACTTTGTTTTGTTTCTTACCCCACCACTAACTTTGGCTCATAACCTCTCAGAAACATGGTGCGTAAACTTAAATTTCATGAGCAAAAATTGCTCAAGAAGGTTGATTTTATATCATGGGAAGCGGACAAAAACCTCAATGAAGTGAAGGTGTTGAAAAAGTATTGCATTCAGAAGCGAGAAGATTACACCAAGTGAGTTGACCATTGAGAACTGATGTTATGCGAATAGGTTCTTGTCAAAACATAGTTTTTGCTTTCAGGTACAATAAAATATCCCGGCACATAAGAGAGCTTGTAAGGAAACTGACAGCTTTAGACCCCAAGGATCCTTTCCGAATTGAAACTAGTGCCAAGGTGTTAGAGAAATTGTGAGTGACAGTACCAGTTCATGTTGCGTCAAATCCACTACAACTCGAACTCTCTCATAGTTTCTTTTATTTTCCAGGTTTTTAATGGGCTTAATCCCTACAAAGTGGGATCTCTCTCTATGTGACAAGGTTACTGCATCCAGCTTCTGCAGGAGACGCCTTCCAGTTGTTATGGTTCGCAACAAGATGTCAGAATCAATAAGGATGGCTGTTAAATTAATTGAACAGGGACATGTTCGTGTTGGTCCGGAGCTTGTCAAAGATCCAGCATTTTTAGTGACAAGGTGCGATCAAATTCATTATTTCAATTGCATTTTTTACTTTAACTTTCTAAATAACTGATTGCTATATTATCTATTTCTATCTTTTATAACTTTTAGGAATTTGGAAGATTTTGTGACTTGGGTAGACTCTTCAGCCATCAGGAAACACGTCTTGGAGTATAATGAATTGGTATGTATACACTTGAAGTCATTGGAAGAAACAATTATATTATCAATTATAAAGTTAGCAACAAGATGCCCTGTTTTGATTTTTTTACAGAGGGATGACTTCGAACTTTAAGATTCAAATTTTTATCATTGTATTGTATATATTAATCAAATAGAAAACACTTAAGGAAGAATGGATTCTTTATATAAAATCATTAGTTTTCTGTCCCTTCCTAAGCTCTACATTATTTGTTGTCTTAACTAATGTTCCACTCTGGATCATCACACAAATCAGAAACATGAGGAGGTTGGAAACGGATCTGCGATGTAACTGGCTGGATGCGAGAACTGCCTGTTGCTGAGGTTGAAGCAGGCTGTCGCTCTACATCCTGTTGTGGTCTTGGCCAAAGTGTTCTTCTAGCTCGAAGCACCATGGCACTGGAAGTAGAAAAAATATACAAAGGCAATTCATTTCATAGATTCTTATAAAATTATCTTATCTTATGGGGAAAACCAACTCACTTCAGTCTTGATATTTCTTGAGTTATGGAGCGTAGACGCTGACGGCTTTCAGCAGCTTTCTGCATCCAATCCAAGTGAGGAGCTTGAGGCACAGAAAAATCAAGGTCCAGGGCAGGCTTTGAAAGCACCACGCTGGGGTTTTCTGTTGGTGCAGGCACAACAGGCAAACTTTTTGATTTGTGAACTTGACTACCTTCACTCTGAGGGCCCTTTGAAATTGGATCTGCTGATGGTTGTAAACTAGTAGCATTAACAAGATCACATTGAGCATCAATGTCTAAGATTTGGGAATCAGACAATGAAAAATCTTCATGAAAACCCTCTTCATTAAGGAACACTTCCAAAAGGCTGCCATGAGATGACGAAGACATAACATCAGCAGAAATGTTAAGAATTGGAAGAACCGCTGGAAGAAGATGTCCTTTATCAGAAATTTTATCATTATAAGGAGCTTGAGAAGCAGTTGAGGTTTTAGCCAAGGAGGGGACATCTTGATATATTTTTGGAGTTGTGTCCTTGTTACCAGATTCCTCATGACAACTCACTGCTGCTTCGGTGTCCATAGGGACGTTTTCATGGTTCACTTCAGTAACTTTGTTTGGAAGGGATGAAATGGCCAGATCTGTGCTGATGGTAGGACTTACTGCTGGCAGGGTATGAGCACGGTAGATTTCAGAGTTCACTTCGGTGGCTTTGTTCTGAGGGGATGAAACGGCTGGATCTACACTGACGGTGGAGGGACTTACTGCTGGCTGGGTATCAGCACGGTAGATATCAGAGCTCACTTCAGTAGCTTTGTCCTGCAGGGTTGAAATGGCTGCATCTGTATTGATGGTGGTAGGACTACTTACTGCTGACTGGGTACCGGAAGAGGCAACTTCAGTAGCTTGGGTTTGAAGAGACGAAATGGCTGAATCTGTACTCACGGTGACACCTTCAGCTTCAGAGGTTGGTGATTTGTTGGAGGTGTCAAGGAGGTCAGGTTCATTGATGATATCTGCTTCAGTAGCCTCCGAATCCTTCTCAGGAGTAGCGCATGTTAGGGGATCTTTTTCTTTATCTTCCGGACAGTCAGGATGATTGACAAAGATTTCATATATTAAACCATCCAGATTGAGTCCATTTCCACTATCAATTATGCTAGTGTCTTGCGCATCAAAAAAAGTTGTCTCCCCTTCTACTTCTCCTGAATCATCCTTGATGAAAAGAGTTTCTGTTTTCAGAGGTGGTGGTGGTGAGGGTAAAGTTGTACCCATACCCTCAGGCGATGGTGCATCCTCCATGTCCTTCGAAAATCGCATCCTCTTGGGGACGGGGGGTGTCATGGGTGATGGAGCGACGTCGAAGTCTTTGGCAAAGCTTGGTCTTACTGGAGTGCAACAGCTCGCTGGCTCCAACTTGACTCGTAAGACTTGGGGAGACTGCGACTCCTTGATCTTGTTCATGATGATTTTGCTGACGGTATCTGAACGGCTGGTTTCGACAATGTTCTGGAACTGCTCCTCGAGTGACTCGCCCTTGAGCTTGTCGTATTTCCTCCGCAGCACCTTCTTCTTCTCGTCGCTCCTCAACGGAGTCCTGCCCTCCTTGCTCTTGCTGGGCACCTTCTCCTTCATTTTGAGTCGACTAGTCTGCACGGATTAGGAATTTCTGTCGGCAGCAACGTGGATAACCCAGAAAACGTGTCGGGCCTTCGTCGCTTGAACACTGTGAGAAATCGGCGGTTGAGCAAGCACTGTTTCAACTTTAACTCGGTTCGAACAAGCGCCGCGCGTTGCGGGCGACGAGCGACAGGGTGGCCACCACACTGCAGTGAAAAGCTGACCATACTCTCGCTCGCAAGCCCTTGTCAGCCAGCCAGGCCCAGTGGCGCCGCTGCGGAGTCCTGCGGCCGCTGGGAGAACTAGCTCCGCTCCTCCTTCTTCTTCCTCCCTACCCCTCCTTCCTTCAGTCGCTTTGTTTTCGTGAGGCGAGGCGGTGCGCCGTGTGTGAGCTGCGTGTCTCGCTGCGAACTTGTCAACTTGATGCGTTTGTCGAACGGGAGGGCCGCCCCCCTGCTGGCATTTCAGTGACTTTTCCCTTGGCCTTTCTTCGCGGTGTCGCGAGTCCTGGGGGCATCGCTGCTGTGGCCCCATCAGCTGAGCTTGGGGCTGGCGGCTCTACGCAGGACCCGTCGAGGAGAGGCGAGCTTGTCAGCGCCTCCGTTCCTTTTGGTGTTCTCAGTGATTCCTTGAATGGAAAGTGCCTGAACCTGTGTGGATTTGGACGCCCAGTGTGGATAAGTGGACGTGAAATCAACTTTGCTCGCTCATAGGTAAGGATTGTCGATGGTAACTTACGTTGGTTCGTGAATCCTAACCCAAATTAAGGATGCATATCATTAGTTAGAACTATCTACATCGTGTATTTGAGTTGTAAAATGTTAGACGCGGTATAATTCCCTTCTCTTCAAGGCGTTTCCTTCGTTGTCATGTCATTATCCCTTGTTTGTCGACGATTATTTGAATTAAATTCAACTTGCGTACTTTGGTATGCTGCTTTTTCGGACACTGGAATACCTTAAAACCCCAGTGGACTAGTCCAGTCGTCCTAACATTCGATTTTAGCCACTGTCTTATTCAACACTTATGACTTAAAACTAAATTTTAAGTTTGGTCTAGATTCAGCATAATGAGGATGTCTTTTTTTGCTATGGTGTCCTCTCTCTCCACTCTCCATGTTTGCATTGCCATTTTCCCTTCTGCCGCCGCCCACGGCGACAGCCTCTCTGCCTACACGTCCTCCAGATCGTCGTCCGCGCGCCCTGATTACGGATTCGGCCACAATGCAGTGTTTGCTCCAGGTCACCGCGGCAGGTGCATTGAGATTAAGGCAGGTGCGCCACCTCCTCGTCGACCTGACTGACCTGCGACCGCACGGCCGGCTCGGCTCGGCCGCTCGGCTCGGCTCGGCTCCTCCGTCCGGCTCGTCTCTCGCGCTATGAGAAATTGGCCGGCCTTTGTAAGACTTTATTTCTTTTAAGCGGGCTGGCCGCGGCGGCGCTTCGCTCGGGGTGGGCGTCGCGTCGCTGAGGCGTCGCAGAGGCGTCGCGTCGCCGCACTTTATTGCCGCCAAAGCGGACGTTGCAAAAGGACGACGGCGCAAATCCAGAGGCGACGGGGACGACGTCAAGAAAGTAGGCGTGGGCGCCGCAGGGAGTGGCGCGGAGTGGCGCGCGTCGCGTCGCGTCGTCGGTAGCGCACGCCTGCACGCCAGCACGCCGCGCCGGATGTGATGTGGGATGTCCGCGGCGGACGGGACGGCGCGGACGGGGCCGTCCCGCAATGGGCGCCGCGGCGCCGGCCGCCCGATTCCGCAGTGGCGTTGCGTCGCTCTGTGTCTCTCGCTCCCCCAGGGACGTCCCGAGAGTGCGCCAGAGCCACCCTTCAGAGCCAGGCGGTGGGCCGGGTCCCACCATGCACCCAGCCCGGGCCGGGCCGGGCAGCGGCCAAAAATAAAAGAAGCCGCCCAATGACGAGATTGGCAGTGCAGTGGAGTCAGTGGAGTGGCTTGGGTGCAGCCGGCCCGGCGGCTGTCCGCTGTCGTCGGCCACCTGCTCGCGCCCAGCCCATGGACACCCCGCGGGGCAGCGCCCGGCAGCGCCGATGACGTCACTTGCAGACGGCCCCCTTATAAGGCAAGGCCTAGGTACGGCGCGGCCGCGCGGCCCGCATTGCTTGGGCGCACTTGCCGCCGGGACGATGGCAAGGACGACAAGTAGTACGTCGCGGCGCTCGGAGGGCTTCCAGTGTGCCGGCCGCGCCGCCTGCCACCGCCTGCCGTTGGCCCGGCTGTCTCGCTGTCTCTGCTCGGCGGGCTTGCCCAAGGGCTTGCCCCCCTGACATTCGGAAGCATCGTCTCGTCGCTGTCTCGGTCGCGCTCAAGGGGCGTTCCGAGGCAGCGCGAGCGAGACAGAAGGCGGGGGGCCAGGGGGGCCGACTGCACCCGCGGGCTTATCGCCGGCGGACTGCACGGCCTCAAGGCCGCCCGCTTCTTAGTGCTTATCCGGGCTTATCGCTGCAATATGTATCGGATGGCGGAAGCGGGGAGGCGAGGTGCGCCGGCGGCAAGGCGGCACGCACATCCGTCTCGGCGCGGCGGCACGGCGTCGGCGTGGCCCTCTCGATTAGCACTCGAGCCGCCCTCGTCGTCGTGTCCTTCCCTTGGCGGTCCTTGGCGGGGTGCTGCCCCCCCCCCCTCCCCCCTCGTGTCTAATGGGCCGCTGCCGGCATTATAATCGTCATTAGTATCGCAGTGGGGCCGGGCTGGGCCGGGCTTGGGGCCGGGCCGGCCGAGCGGATACACTCGCAGATTGAAGGGAAGGGGGAGCTTGGCGTTGGCGCCGAGCCTCAGGCCCAAGCCTCGGGGGAGCGAGTCCGCGTTCCGAAACGGTGGCGCTCCGGTGGCGTTAGGGTCGGGGGCGGCCAGGGGGCGGCCGGGGGGCGGCCCACTGCCAACGCCAACCCGAGTCCCAGCCAGTGGCGTGCGCAGTATACTAGACAGCAGCAGGCAGGCAAATTGCAACACGTTCCGCCTGAATGAACCGACCCCCTCCTTCAAAAATTTGTGGGCACGCCACTGGCGCCGTGCCGCCTGCAAGTCTGGAGGGTGGGCAGAACGCAGCGCACCGTGTTATGGTGGTTTTTGCTCTCCCCGCATCGCGCATCCCCGTCGCCTGCGCCGCGGCCCGTCCACGGCCCTGCTCCAAGTCGTACCCCGTGGCGACGACGCGGCGACGACGCGGCGACGCGACGGCTCCCAGCGAGTGCAGGGCGTGCAGGGCGAGCAGGGAGTGACACCGGAGCGAGAGGCGTGCCGCGCCGCCTTCGGATCGATCTTCCTGGGAAATTGAAAGTTGGCGTCGAGACTGAGACGGCGAGACGGCGCGCTGGAAGCCTGCTGGAAGGCTGGAGAGGGGCTGGAGACAAGTAGTCGCGGAGCAAGCCGAGCAAGCGTAGCGGCTTGCGGCTCGGCATGCGTGTCACGTGGCTTTTATGGAGTGACAGTGCTCTTTTTTTTTCGCCCGCCCCACGCTCCCCCTGCCTTGCCCTGCCTGCGCGAGTGTGGTTGTTTCTTTTTCATCCCGGCTCACTGATTCACCGTCTTTTTTGGCCCGCCTCGTAGCATTACGTTGGTAATACCCGGAGGATGCTCGCATTTTTCATTTTTTTCATTTTTTTTTTTGCATTTGGTGCGTTTTGGTGCGTTTGCATCCGTTTTGGACTGGTTGAGCCGGGTGGAGCACCGAGGACGCCGCGACCTAATCGAGCGTGTGCGTGCTCTGACGGGGGAAGAGTGTCACAAAAACCGCGTCTCGTTATCGCGCCTTCATCGGCGCTGCTCGCCGTGACGACTCTGTCACGCCGTCGCCGGAACGTCGGAACCGTTGGAGCGGATCGGCCGGGGCGGCAGACAGGAAGGAAAGAAATGAAGCGCTTCCCGGTTTCTGTTTCCCTGCCGGTCACTTCGATTTTTCTGTCGGCCGCGGCGGAGATATGTTTTCGTTGGCTTTTGTGACGGCCGGGAGGGCGGCCGGAGGCAGCCAGGGCCTTCAGGGCCTCCGGGTGCCGTCCGCCGCCGCGCCGCCGCGCCGCGATTGAGACGTGATATCGATGAAATGCAAGGGGCGGGGCGAGGGGGGGGGGGGAAGGGGGAGGGGGAGCGAAAGGTGTCTGGCGCCGTGCCGAGCGGGGCCGCCTCGCCGTGGCGGTGGGCGCGTCCCCGCCAAATGAAGACGGAGACGACGTCGACGGCGACGGTCCAGCCGTGAAGCGGCGCGGCGGCGGGGCGACGCGGCCCGCGGAGGCTCGGTGCTTTAGTCTAATCTAGGCGCAAAGCGACGGCGCCTCGGCACGGCACGGCACGGCACGGCGTGGGCGGAGAGGCACTGGCACGACGTCGTTGGCTGCCTTTATTTATTGCCGCGTTGCGTGTGTGTGCGTGCATGCGTGTGTGTGCGTGTGAGTGTGTGCGCGCGCACGCAGTGTGCACACGTACGCCCTTATGTGTCAACACAGTATTGGGGAAGCGACAGCGGCGACAGGGGGACGCGTATAGTTTACTGTTTCCGCTTTCAATGGCCATCGGCTGGCGAGCTGGCGAGGACGACGATGGGCTGGGCTAGGCTGGGCGAGGTGGGGAGGCACGGTAGTGTTTTTGGTATTTCGGTGTGGTCGTTTACGTCAGTGTGGGCCTCGCGTTGCCTGGCGTTTGTTTTTTGGCCGGGTCCGCAGACATGTCGGTGCGGGCACTACGCGGCGCGCGGTGATCGGGGTAACAATACCAGCTCCAGGCCCGCGGGCGCCATGGCGAGCACCAAAGCCCCCAGGACGCCGCGCCTTTCTCCTCCAACGTCATTGTCGTGATGCCCTTTGATGTCGCGCCGCGTGTCGTGTGTCGCCTCGTGCCGTCCGGCCGCCAGAGAGACACGAGATATTAGATTTTTGGCGCGTCGCGTCGCGTGTCGCTGGTGTCGCGTCGGCCACTCCACCGGGCTGACCCTGCCCTGCCGTGTCCGTCCGCCCGTCGGCCCGCATCCTTTCACAGCAGCGCGTCGTGAAAAGGGTCCCCCTCCCCCTCCAATATTCTTTTCTTCTCTTGACCCTACACTGTGCCCGCTGCCCGGCTGCGGCTGGCCGGGCCGCCTCGCCGCGCGGAGGGCCCAGGCCCAGGGTCCTATATCCCGCCATCGCCATCCCGGCCAAGGTCCCGGCCCTGTATCCCGGCCGGCTCGCGTTCCACGGTCTTATTGTTGGTTTTTGAGGCGTCCTGGAATTCATTCGGCTCCTTCCGGGGCAATCGTGCGGGGTTGGGTGTGGGGTGGGGGCGGCCCGCCCCGCCGAGGCTAGCAAGGCTAGCCGAGGCTCAGCCAGCCCCTGCCGGCCTGGGTCGGGCTGGCGGGGCGGGCTGGCCTGATGCAGCGCTGCGGTGGCGGGGCGGGCGGGGCGCTATCGATCCGCGGGGCGCGGTGGGGCGGGGCGGGGCGGGGCGCTCCCATCCTCGGCCTGCACACCCCGTCCTTCCGGTGGCGCCCTGCCGCCCCCACCCCACCCCCGGGCCGACGTGTTTCTGGCTGCTTTGCTCCTTTCTCATGCAATTCGGCCTCCCAAACAACCGCGACGCTCACAGTGGCGTCGCAGCGTCGCAGCCTGGCGGCGCAGTGCGCCGGCCGCACAGTGGCGTAGCCGGGCGTAGCTCTGCGGCCCTCCAGACTCGCAGGTGACCCTTTGGCCCCCGGCGCCCTTAGGGCCCTTAGCCCTTCCGATTCATCACGCC